TTTTTTTTTTTTTTTTTTTTTTTTTTGTCTTTTTGAGACAGGGTCTCCCTAAGATAGGGTCTTACAATGTATCCCTGACTGGCCTAGAACTCACTATGTAGCCAGCAGGCTGACCTTGAACTTTTGGTGATCCTCCTGCCTCCACTGCCTGAGTGCTTGGATTACAGGTGTGCCCTACCATACCTGGTTTACTGTTGTTTTTTCTTTTTTGGACAGGGTTTTATGTGGGCGAGGCTGGCCCTGAATTTTCTGTGTAGCTGAAGCTGGCCTTGATCTCTTAATCCTCTCACCTTTGCCTCCTGAGTACTGGGGTTACAGGAGTGTGACACCATGCCCAGATGTTTGGCTGGATTATTTTTCAGAAGTGAAATAGACCAAAAAATTTGAGAACTGCTGAACCAGACCTTTCCCAGTGTCCATTTGGTGCTCACAATCTCCTTGGTCTTATTTCAGTTTCAGCCTTGAGAAATGGCTACAGTTAGGGCCTCTGGCAACAAAGCAGACTGTCCTTGAATTTGTCTGACTCTACTTCTTTCAGAGTCTCAGGGGTCCCTCCTGTCCTCTTACTGAGAGGGAAATGGGTGTCATGGGGCATCATCTGTTCCTTGAGGTTCAACACGCTCACATTATTGATGTCTAAGCAGGCTGTCGAGGCCTAAAGGCAGAACTCCACTGCCTTGCTACCCACCACAGCTGTCCTGAGTAAGCGGCCCTGCTGTCTAGGGCCTGCGGACCCCAGAGAGCAGTAGGCAAAAGGACTCTGTCTGAAGGATGCAACATCTGCACAGAGCTACCACACAGCACCTGCCGGCGACATCAACCCAGTGCTGTGGCATCTGTGTTGTCACTGCCACTTCCTGGGTGAGGAAATCAAAAGCAGCAGGTGATATGGCATGCTCAAGGCCACAGCTGAGAGCGAGCCTTTACTTTTCCCCTCTCCTACATGCAAGGATCAGGTGGGGGGCAGAGGAAGAAGGGATACGGGCAACTTAAGGGGGAGATGTTACTTTGTGCTGAGGAAGGACGTGGAAGACTTCTGAGCGAGGAGGCATGTCTGAGACCAGTGTGAAAGGAAGATAACTTAGGAGGCAGGAAAAGAGGCTTGGTCCCTTTCCCCAAGGGACCAAGGCTTGGTCCCTCTTCCCATACCCCACCATACAGCAGCCCCAGGAGCTGACAGGGCCAGCCCAGGGAAGCCAGAACTCACCGACATGGCTAGGTGTAGTGGAGTGTTCCCATGCTCGCCACGTGCGCCCGCGTTGGCCCCATAGGTCAGCAGCACCATGACACAGTCGAAGCGGTTCCGCATCACTGCCACATGCAGGGCCGTGTTCCCTGCTGCACTCGTGCTGTCCACGTCACAGCCCCGTTTCAGCAGCATACGGGCCATCTGGGGGAGGCCACCAGGCGGTCACTTAGGGGGCAGTCACACCTCCCTGAGCAGCCTTAGGATATCAACAAAGGTAGAGAAGTCCAGAGGATGGCTCCATTTCTGGGGGTGGCCCAAGACCTTAGCCCTCAACATCAGCTCCCTAAGAACTGAGATAAAATGATAAAGACGTGCAGACTGGTTCTAGAGGCTTCTGATCTCCTGGAGCTGCAAGGGCTGCTCTGGGTCCTGTCCTATAAGCCCATTCCTTGAGCCCCTTCATGAAACAGCTCCAGGGGCCTCTGCATGGCTTCCCTGTTCCCCTTGAGTTGTGGAACTGTAGGGAGGACAGAGCCCAGAGCCTCCTCCTGTTGCCTGAGCCTGGACTGGTCACTGTAGCCCCAGCGCCTCAGCTTCCTCTGATATGGGGATACAAGTCCCCACCTCACAAAAAAGGCAAAGATGAAAACACCCTTGAACGAGCTGACACAGGGGTGCCCTGAAAAGGCAGCAGGCTCTTCTCTTGTGTAAAAGCAGGCCAGGTCTTGACGCACAGAGGTACTGCTAAGCTAGGTTTTCTGAGCATCCTCTTGGGGAAACAGAGCTCCGTGTAGAGACAGACCTCAGAGGAGGTAGCAACCAGGCTCTTACTGGGGGCAACTAGACCCAGTAGCCACACCATCACTGCCATCTTCTACCTGTGATGCACAATTTCGCACATACTGCCCTGCTAACGTCCCAGTACCTCCAGAGACAGGCAATGGCCTCCTGGTGCACGGAAAGAAAACAAGGTGTAAAGGAGCACTACCACCGGCCAGGGAGCGGCACAGCAGTGCCTCAACTGTTCACCCATGTGTGCCCATGTGTCCCTTGAGTCCTGTCCCTGAGTGACAATGCCAGTCATCTCAGGAGCCTCCTTCCTGGGCACTGAGGAGCACAGGGCTCTGGACCTGCCCTGCCCCTCACCTGCGAACTCTGCCTACCTCGGCATTCTTGGCCCAGTGGAGGGGGCTGGCTCCATAGCGAGGGTCCTTGCTGTGGATTTGGTTGCTGTCCATATTGATGATCATTTCAGCACACCTGAGGAGAGAGGAACAGTGAGGGGATGGTGAGGGGAGACACTGGACTAGCCATGACTTGGGGCTTCATCTACTGACCAGGAAGGTTCATCTGCAAATAAAGCTGCAACATCACCAACCAGCTGGCCCTGGCAATGATTTCTCAAACAGTACAGCAGATGTTTAGGACACAATAGCAAAATTAAAAACAGAATTAGGATTGGTGTGATGGCTCAGAAGTTATGAGCACCTGCTGCTCTTGTAGAAGACCTGGGTTCGGTTCCCAGCACCCACATGCATGGTGCTAACAACAGTCTGTAAATTCAGTTCTAGGGGATCTGACATCCTCTTCCGGCCTGCATAGACACTGCAACTACACAAATGTGGACCGCTTATATACATGCAAGTAAAACACACATACACATTAAAAAAAATTAAATAAAATTTTAAAAAATGGTCAAAGGACTTGTTGGCATAAGGAGGAAATAGTTTATTCTGGTGAGATGTGTGATCACAGCCCAGGAATATGAATTCAGGTGTCCCAAATGCCCACCATGGACACAGGCACACAGCTTTATTAGTTCCAGAATGTAAGAAACCATAAATCCAGGCATTTTTTCCAAATAAACCGGAAAAAAAACCAAGCATGGTGTCACACCCCTTTAACCCCAGCACTCTAGAGGCACAGGGCAGGGGCAGAGATCCATCTGCCTCTGCCTCCTAAATGCTATGATTAAGGGTGTAAACCACCATGCCCAATTAAAATACCACATTTATTAACTATATTTTTCCAGGGTTTTGGGTGTTTATTTGAGCATGCATGAATGTGTGTGGTTGGACATGAAGAGCACAGCAGCCAGAGTCAAGGGATCAACTGACTCCATTCATTCATTCCAGATATTGTTCCTGCTGAGCAGTATTCTGTAATATTTCACCTCTTTAATTTCTCATTCCCAACCCCCAACATATGGAGAACTTCCTGAGACCCCAGAACTTCCAGGGTTTTCAAATCTGGGACAAGGGGAAAGATGAGAGAGTGGTCTAGAGCTCCCAAGACAAGGGTCTGGCACCTGTTTCCCCTCAGAGCCACTGGTCAGAAAGGAGCAATATATTGCACACACAGGGCCCTGGGCCACCAGGACAAGCATCCATGGGCCTCTAGCAGGTACAGAGCCAAGTGCTGCAGACCCAGAGGAAAGCTCACAGGTCAGCCCTGGGTGCATTAGAGAAAGACTCTAAAAGGTCTATTCTTTGCACAGTAGTTTGTAGATTCAGATGTGAATCTGTCACACAATGACCAGCAATATTTTCCCATGGTCCGTTATCTGATGAGGTTTGGGAACCCAGAGCCATTGCTCTGGACGCTGCAGGGCAGTGGGGGTAGGGATATGGTACGAGGCCTTACCCTTTCTGAGAGAACTTCATGGCTGTGTGGATGGGGAAGCCGCCAGGTCCCATGATGTTGCAGCGGGCATTGCAGAGCAGCAGTACGCGCACCATCTCCTGCTTCCCCATCTGGCAGGCCAGGTGCAGCGGTGTCAGCCCTTGGTTGTTTACCTGGTTCAGGCCAGCTGAGGCATTCTTTCCTAGGAGCTGACAGTACAACACTGGGGTGAGCTGGAGCCAAGTGCAGGGCTGCCCCCTGTAGCTCCCCTCTCTAGCACCCCAGGGGCAACCTATCTCTGGAGACCAAGGGGGAAGAGACGTTTCATCCCATGAGGACACTGACGAGTGTAAACAGGAGCAATAGGGAATGGTACTTGGGAGATGATAAAAAAGCTAGACCAGTGAGGATGGGTGTATGTGGGTGTGGATCTGACCCAACAGTGGCTCATATGAACACTTCTAAACAATCTTAACCCAGGTATGGTGGCACATATGTGTAATTTCAGTACTCAGGAGGCTGAGGCAGAATGTCAAGTTGAAAGCCAGTCTAAGCTACATGAGTTCAGGCCAGCCTGGGCTACTTGGAATGCTGTACCAAAAAGAACAACAGAAGAACCTTAACAAGCTGTTCTATCCAAGGATGGGCACTGGGATTCTAGGTGGGGACAATTCTTGCTTCCCATTGTGTCCTCTGTTCTGGTTAGGCTTAACTGTCAACATGATCCAGCCTAGAGTCATCTGAGAGAAGCTTCAATTAAGGAATTTCCTAGATCATATTGGCCTGTGGACATATCTGTGAAGGCCCGTCTTGACTGTTAATTGATATAGGAGGGCCCAGCCCACTGTGGGTGGTACCATTCCTAGACAGGTTCTTAAAGGAAAGCTATAGAGAGAGTTACACAGGAAAGCTAGCTGAGCACAAGCAAGTAAGCCAGAGAGCAAGCCAGCAAACAGCCATTCCTCCATGGTCTCTGCTTCAGGATCCTGCCCCAACCTCCCTCAGCGATGAACTGTGATCTGGAAGCATGAGCCAAATAAATCCTCTCCTCCCCTAAGCTGCTTTTGGTCAGAGTGTTTTATCACAGCAACAGAAAGGAAAACAGAACACCTTCTTTCAGCAGAACTTCTTTCTTCAGGCAGGTATCATGTTTTCATTAAATGAACACAGGGCGGGAATGTGGCCTAGAGGAACAGCGCTTGCCTGGTTCAGTACTGCCCCTCCCTGCCTACCCAAACCCTCAATACTCAAGTCCCTTGCATAAGATGGTGTATCTGCACAGAACCTGCACACTCCCTCCCATGTACTTTATTACACAGGACCCACTCTGTTGCCTAGGCTCGTCTTGACCTCCTGCCTCTGCATCCTGGATCACTGGAATTACTTTGTGCCAATTCCCGACTTAGGTACTTAGGTGACTTCTAACCCTAATATATTAGATGACTAGTTATTTATGCTGTGTTTTTAGGGAATAATGACAAGAAAACATATATGTAGATGCAATTTTTTCCAGGTATGGAACCCACAGGCCCTGAGGGAAACTTCACTAGTGGTAAGCTGGGAGAGTTTAGTCCTTTCACTGGGGGCTCAATGCTGACTCCCTGAGGTTAACCATGACTACTGGGTACCCCATGACACCAGGATCCCGTTCAGCTTAGAGTTGGGCTAGGGACCCCACAGGAGTACATGGGCTGCACAGCCCACCCTACCCCCAGCTTGGTGGCCCTTGGTGGGCTACCCCCAGCTGTGGAGGGTTGGGGTAGGCAGTGACAGGCAGGTGATCACGCAGGGGACATTTCTTATTCTGCTAGCCTCAGTTTCTTACGTGACAAAAGCAAGGCAGTACTCCAGCCCAAAAGAACATTCTGAGAACTAACTAGAACCCATGTGACACTCGGTACAGGCCAGGCACAAGCCAGTGCCAGACAGGACAGATATGGTATGTGACCACTGGCCAACCACACCCTCGTTCTTCCTCTGTGGTACCACACTGGGCATGCCTTCCCTAGGACTGCTAAGCCTAAGGTATAGATCCATGTTTTCTAGAACAATCCTGATGCCAAGGCAGAGGCCAGAACCTGCAGGAAGAGCTGCTCATTCCAGATGACGAAACACAAGCTGCCACTCTGCCCTTCCAACCTAACTTGGAGCAGCGTTTACACGTACCACCACTCCTCTACTTCACCACAATTCAAAGTAGCTTCTGTTCTAGTAATCAAAGAATCAGCACCTCTGGCAAAGCCAGCAGTTTGGTTTGGCAACGTCTCACTGCACCATGAGCCCTGTAGGCAGGGGCTGACCTCATGCACCTAGCCTAGGGGCTGGCTCTGGGCAGCTGTGCAGGCAAAGCTGAGTTCCTTGCCTGACTGGAGCTGCCCAGGAGTTCAGTTTGCTGAGTTGGAGGACTTCCCTGGCCAAAGTATGTCAGAAGGTGGGGAGGGAGGGGTTAGGCCTCAGGGGCCAAAGATGGATCAGTGACCAAAGAGCTTCAGGCCCAAGGAGGGGCTTGGTTGCCAGGCCTCCTGCTGACCCCAACACTCACCTGCAGCACCTGGGAATTGTCCCCCTGCACAGCATAATGGAAGGCAGTCTCTCCCTTGTTGTCTGTGACGTCCATCTGGGCATGACAGTACTGTACCAGCTCCACCAGGATCTCGCTATCACCCTTGCGGCAGGCCAGGTGCAGGGGGGTACAGCCCTCTTCATTCTCTGTGCTGTTGGCGCAGCTGTGGAGGGTTGGGGTAGGCAGTGACAGGCAGGTGATCGTGCAGGGGACAAGGGGCAGGGGAGCCCAGAAAGCCAAGTGCAGAAAAGCAGGGGTAAGATTTGGATGTTCTGGGGTACCCCAGCCTCAGCTACTACACCATTTCAGGCTGTGCTGCACTCTGCTCACCCTTATGGAAGATGCGCCCCAGGGCCAGGGTGGCAACAGGGTGACCTATAAAGAGTCATGCACAGAGCCCTCACTAACCTCGGGCAATGTGCCGAACCTCTCTGCATATCAGTGTCCTTATCTACAGGAGCTACTGTGGGACTGTCCCCAGGAGGGGACAGAACTGTTGTGAGATAGGACACCATGGTGTCCAAAGTCTTGCCTCAGTGCTGGAAAGCTCATTGAGATTTTAGCTAGCACCCAGGACTGATGAGAGCAGTCTGGGGTGGCCAGCTAGCGGCCTATGCAAGGCGGCGAGGTGCTCTCTAGGCTGGATGGATATAAAAGAGGAACAGCAGCCTTGGGAAGGAGACTCTGGGATCTGAGCTCCCTTTCAACTTTCTACTGCTGAGTGGCCATGCCCTGGTCCCACTTCCTCTCTTTGAGACATCAAGAACCCCACAAAGGAGTTGGAAGGAGTCAGTGTCTGCTTCCTTCTGACTTTAGTCAGTGCTGTTAGGGGCTAACCCAGGGGCAGCCCTGCTTTCTCTTCTAAACCATGGGAGGATCAAGGCAGATTCTAGAGACCCCCAACTCTACACCATGCACCCAGCATGCATGCTCCGATGGCCAGGCCTGCCCACCTGATGATGCGGCTGTGGTGGAAGCATTCTCGGATGCCCAGCTCCACTGCCAGGTGGGTCACAGTCCAGCTGGGGTGGTTGCGGATGAGGTCAGTCAGATGCTGCAGGGCCTCCACATGCAGAATCTGCACGGAGCTCTCATAAAAGGGTGGCAGCTGGGAGGAAAACTGCTGGAAGTTCACCAGGGCGTCTGCCTCTGACTCCAGCTGGAAGAGCCTACAGCCAGAAGATACTGAGAGAAATGAGGGGCCAGGCCGGCTGAGGGGCCAAGGCCTAGCGGAGTTAGAGCTCTTAGGTCCCTGGCAGGTCACACTCTGTCCCAGACTACAGCCTGATCTACTTTCTCCAATACCCCACCCCCCAAACGGAGTTTACTTTGGGCTTATGACTGAAGTCTTGCCTCACAATCATCTGGTGATTTTTTTTATCTTACTTAACAGGAGCCATGGCATATCCTCTTTCTACTCTGATTGTCACATCAGGAGCCCTAGGCTCAACCCCCAGCTCTTTGTACAGATTTATGTAAGAGAAGTTCTTCCCAGATGGCCAGCCAAGGAATACTGTGTGAATTATGGTTCAATTATCTATGTGATAAGCAGTGTACAGTCATGGAAATGGTACTAAAAGAATGGGGAGGGACCTAGACGGCCCAGTGGGTAAAGACACCTGCCACCAAGCCCAATTTCTTGAGTTCGATCCCCAGAACCCACATGGTGGAAGGAGAAAACTGACTCCCACAAGCTGTCTCTGACCTCCACTCAAACACTGTGGCATGCACATACCTCTACACATGCACACACCTCTACACACATACACAAACACACCTATACGCATACCTACACACACATTCAGATGCACAAACATAAGCACCTAACACACAGACCTATACACACAAAAATAAAAATGTAACACATTTAAAACAAACAAACAAACAAACCAGGGTCAGGCACGCTAATCCCAGCACTTGGGAGACAGAGGCAGGCAGAGCTCTGTGAGAGTGAGGCCAGCCTGGTCTACAAAGGCAGTCCAAGCCACCTGGGGCTACAGGGAGAGAGAGTCTCAAAACATCAAACAAACAACCAAGAAAACCCCACCAAACCCAGGGAGCTGTTTATTTTGTAGCAAGTAAAAAAGCAAGCTACAAATACTTGATACAATATAATCTCAACCGAGTTTAAAAAAAAAAAAAAAAAAAGGTCAGGTGTAGTGGCTCATGCAGGAGGCAGAGGTAGGTGGAGCTCTGTGAGTCCAGGCTAGCCTGGTCTATGCAGCAAGTTCCAGGCCAGCTGGGACTACAAGGGAGACCCTGTCTTAAAAATAAAAATATAAGACCTCCCTTTACTTCCCTGGGTACACAGCCTCCTGTGTCCTAGTCCCAGGACCTTCCCTGGGTAAGTCCAGCATGCCCAGCGAACCTTGACTTCCCTAGCCTCTTTCACCCTCCCAGCTCCCACCACTCACCGAGTCTCTCCTCCTAGGCTGGGTACAAGCCCATTTATTGTCTTGGCACCCCAGACATCAGGGCTAACCTCTCGGCCCCGAGCTGCCACTGCTTCCTGATCCTTTGCATCCAGACCAACCCATTTCTGCGGCCCCCAGAAACCCTCTAGGCTTGGTCCCACCCTCACCTCCCTTTACTTCCCTGGGTGGCACAGCCACCAGCTTCCTGAAACCAGCATCTGTCCTAGGCCCTTCTCCCAGGCCAGCCCAGGCCCCAAATTCTTGAGGGCAGCATCTTTCCTGGAGGGTCCCATAGCTTAGGAGAAAGCCTGATATCATCTGAGCCTCATCTCACTTGGGCCTCTGTGGGAACTCCTGAAGACAAAAGCAATTAGGCCACTCCAATATAAAATCAAAAGAGAGAATCTGAAGCCTAGACCAACCAGCTTTTCATGCCCAACAAGTAAACCACAAAGGCACACAGTTTACAAAAAGAAGCAGCGACCTAAAATCAACAAAGGAAGGCTTAAGTCTCCCACAAAAATCAGAAACTACAAAAGAAAATCACATCAAAGTCACACAGAAAAAAAATGATAGCATGAAAACC